TTTAACTTTTTGCATATAGTTTTGTTTTTGGCGTTGAAATTGACAAGTAGCATGTACGAACTACATCAGTTGTAAACATTGGCCAACGTATGGAAAATTAGTAACAACATAGAGAATGAATGTAAATATTTTACCTGATGATGGCCATAAAGGGCAGAAACATGTCGTAAAATATTATGTAAAATATATACATGAATTGTGATGAGGGAACAAATAATAAGTTATTCACACACAGTATTGCTAACTGCTCAATTTGACGTAATATCCTAGCATTGTTCTGGAAAACTAAGTGATTTGATGAAACGAACAAGGCTGTGTGACTGGTAGAACTTAAACGTAGAACTTTCTCTTATCTGTTGCAGGCCAGGTCTGTCCGACAGGAGGACATCTGATACGGTTCGGATTCTGTAAGTACTACCTAATACGTTATTACCCATAGTTAAGCGAAATGTTGAGGTAAGAGCTGTCGAGAAATGCTATCATTCTGGGTTTCATGTCTCCATGTCAAATGAGGTTCAAAGAGCAACCTTCTTTGCGCAGCCTGGTCTGGTATGGACGCTTGTAAATTCGACATGCATTGAACGTACAGTGCAGCGCTGAAGCGGCGTAGACACACGACCTTAAACGCATGAGTCACAACGACCTAAATCCTGCCTACCCGTGAAACCGTTACATATATATTTTATATAATTGTGTGTTCATTTAAGGCTGATAAGAGAGAATGAACGTCAGCAGTAATGCGTAGCAAACAGAAGAAGAAAATATACAGATATTCTCAGAATTACTAGGTTTTCGGACTCTGTCCATTATCTAGTATTCTAGAAATTAGAAAACAACGTTTCCGAAACTGAATCCGTTTCTCTTCATGTCGCACACTTCCAATACCACTGCACTATAGGACATATGAAATCTTCAAGTCATACGTCATATCTTCACAGGTCGGTCTCCTGTACTTTTCTGTTCTCCTGGTTCGAATTCGAATTCCGCCGCTAATATTTCTTTCCTATGCTGCCCTCAACTGAACTCTGTCAGCTTAGGAATTTCGCTCACTTGTATAGTCGAGGGACGGACATCGACAAAGAGTAAACATATCACGTGACCCCTACCCATTATTGCTGTGCACGTCACCGGACATGCGCATCTGACACGCATACTGTTGATGTATGATGTCACAGATCCTACGCCAACTGCCGGACACAAAGGAAACACAGCTTGCTCTACTGTAGCGGGAGCGTATCACCTTTACAGAGCTGCTGACTGGCAACGCGTTGATCAAATACGCCACAATATATTTGATGAATTCTAAAGAATACAAATTGGAGGAATGCAGCAGGAAGCACACCTCAGGCTGGCTGCATGATGATACTTAATAGCCCGACTGATGACACAGTTATCACATGATTCACTCACTTTCTCTTCCCTAAAATATTCCAAACTTTTAGCAGTAATTTTTTCCCCGCGCGCTGTTTGAGTTCCCGCCTCTAATCACAATTGACACTGTTTCCCACATAATCCTTGCAAAGAACTGGAGCACTGCTTTGCTAAAAGCTCTACAAAATGGCTGCAACGTCATAACTTCGTTACAGCCAGTACAGGGTATTTCCATTAGGCGTTGATTGGACACACTCTGCCGGCACGGCCTGCTCTGTCACTCAGACTGCATATGCATCCTGACATTTTTCATAAGCAAGGTCTTCTCTTGCCTAACGCTCCATCTCAAGCATGATTCACAGGTACATGACGGGTAGGCACTGGGCTCCAGACACTGAGACAGATTTTCTCTCATGTTTCTGCAAAGCCCCATACTTGTAGACGACCCTCGTATCGCGCTGTGGCACTGGACCACATACATTGTCTGCTCTATAAATTGTGTTTCGGAGATCGGATTTTTCTCCTTCCTCAGGTAAAACACGACGAAGAGAATCATATTCAATAGGGTCTGTTGGAAAAACGAACGACTATGATGGCCTGACCAACACAATAGAGCTCTCGCCCCAGCAAGAACATTCAAGGCAGCCATAAAAACAAACCAAACAAAACCAGAAAAAACTGTGTGCAACTCACTCACGCATGGAGCTGCCAGTTGTGCAGCCACACAAGAATTTCTCAGCATTTTATGGAATACGAAGGTTCATTACCATGTTCACAAGAGCCCACCACTGATTCCTATTCTGAGCCAGATCATTGCAACCGAAAAACATCCAAATAAAACTGATGGTACTCCACATAATCAAAATAAACAGAAGCATCTACAACAGGAGGAAAGAAAACCGCATTACAGTAAGCAGCAGAATCCTTAACCATAACCTGTACACCTGAAGACGGCCAGTTAGACCAAAACATGTAGTGTCCAATAAAGGAATACAAAGAACAGCGAACGACGTTGCACATAGACGGCACAAAAGCTCCTCAGTCAGATCTATTAGAAAAAGTTAATATTCATCAGCAGGCTTGTTGAATACGGTCACAGTATTCCATCCTATTCAATATCCGTTTTTATATTATTCTCCCATCTACTCTTAGATCTTCGCACTGCCGTCTTTCCGTTTATTCCGACCACATCTCTAAACCCATTCCCGAGTTCTAGCATAAAGTAATAAATAGCTTAGCTTACTTATTTGCAAACACTGAGTGTGGGGTCAGAGATCAGCCCCCCTTACCATGTAAAGACCCAGATTGTGATAATGTGCTGCCTGACCAGGGCTGCCGCATAACTTAATGGGTGGTAATAGTTGAATATAGAGTAATGGTGGAATGATAATAGAACCTCATACCTCCAAAGGAGGTCACTGAGCAAAATTGCGGACGTTTCCCGCCCAACAGCAGTCACTAATACCTCCGGTAGATGGGGGAAGCATTACAGATACTTCTCAGCCAGTAGAGAGCCGGTCTCGCTGGCTGGGCGGGACTGATGGTAAGCACCAATGCCGGTAGGATATAGAGGCTGGTAGAATCATAGAGGGAAGCACAGTGGACCACTACAGGTCTACGTGCATGGGGAAACCCACCCTCTCTAATAACTAACTAACTAATTGTGGAATGGTGATTTGAAAGGGAAAAACGAAGGAACTCAGAGAAAACCTGCTCCAGTGTCACTTCGTCCACCCCGAACCGCGCTTGAAATTATCCCGATTGAATCCGAGACTCTGGGGTAAGAAGCCAGCGTTCAACCCCATAGCTATAGTCAGCTCCATAATGTAACAATAACAATAATAATAATAACAATAATAACAGGTAAATTTTTCCTTGTGCCTAACTAATTAAGCACTACACCATGAAAGTGTATGGGGGAGTGGAAGTATAAATTCGCGTATTCATGACTTCAGCTGTAGTTGGAGGTGAGTGGCCAGCTTCACGCCCCTGCCTCTTTACGCCCGGAACCGATTGGATAGGAGACTGGGTGGGCCGCACAACCGGGCTGGACAACATGGAGAGAACATTCTTAAGAGAACACGAAATCCGACCCCGCTCCTCCACCTCGCAGTCAGTCACTATACCGAGTCATTAATAATAATAATAATAATAATAATTAATAATAACAAAATAGCTACGGCCGCCGAAAATCGACTTCAGTCCGGACAGCCGTTGCCGGGTATGCGATACACCGCGGACGTGGCGGGAGGAGGAAACCAAGCCTGCATATGAGGGTGGGCGGGGAGGGGCCGAGATTGTGTAATTGGTTTAAGTCAAGGGGAGGATGTGCCATTAAGCTCTTAGGGTTAAATTCATTACTGTGAGAGTGGCTCAAAGAACTTTCTGTCTCTGCAGATTGATCGAGCTGCCTCAGATCCGTCTCTTTATACTTTGGCTGCTGGGTACAGGGTTCAGGGCCAGTTGGACGTCCCTCGCTCTGCTCTGCTTTGCGGCAACAGTTTACTGCAGGGCCTATGCTGTCAGAGCTTAGAACTTAAAGCAATCGCCCGGACACAAGTTAGGACTGGCCTAATGCAACCCTTTGAAGCATGATGTTCATCTATTGATACCTCACAGGGGGTGAGCTGTAGAGTAGTTTGTTGAAGCACTATGCTACAAGCCGGAAGGTCATGGGTTCGTTTCCCGGTGAGGTCATTGGATTCTCCAATTGACTTAACATTTCCAGCCGCACTATGGCTCTGGGATCAACTTAGCCTCTAACAGAAATCAGTACGAGGAATCTTCCTGGGGGGTAAAGACCGGCCAGTGCGTATGGTTGACAACCTCACCGTCATCTCTGAGCCGATGGACTAGAAAACGTGGGAGCTTCGACGTCTCACAACACCATGGGCCTTCACGACCTGTTACAGGGATAGCTTTACCTTCTGCCTCACAGAAAACATATTACATCTTCACTACAAAGATCAAACTGTTAGGAAAATAATCGCTATGTGGTCAAAATTTAGAGTTACTCTACGTGAAAAAGCGCGGCAAATATAGTGATCACGCCGCTTTAAAGGGTCAGCCGCCAGGACAGGCAACAACTTCCGCTTTAACTTCTCAAGCGATGAAACATACAAAAACTTAACCGGGTGACAATTCGTAGCAAAATGCTGGGCACTCGTAAAAGGCAGGACTCGGGGAACATTAGCGTCTGTTCCCGGAGGAGATGGTCGTTTTACGACTTTGCCTTCTAAAGTTTGCCCACGAATGTATTTATGAGAATAGGGGCTATGAATTGATACCGTGCCCTTAAATAACCAACATATCACATATTAGAATGTTTCCCTTCAGAAGTCTTTGTGGGCTTCCCATTCAGCTGTTTTTAGATGAGAGAGGAAAAGATATTATAGCGTGTAGAGCCGTTATTAGACAACGGCTCGGTAAACACGTCCCCGCAGCAATGGATACACTTGCGAAAAGAGGTACTGTTGGAAGCAGCGTTTTATTCTCGGTCCGTGCAAAGAGGTTACAATGAGGACAACTAAAGCAAGAATAGTTCAGCTGGAAGGAAGCCGCCGTTCAGAAAGAACTTGAACCCGGAAGCAGAGGATTATACCTCTGTAAGAAGCTGTTACCAGGAAAAGCCTAGTGAAGACATTACAGGCTGGAAAAGACAGGGTGATTTGTAAGTGTGGAAATAGCGATAGTGATATGGTTAATTGTCCAATATCCAACACAAAAACCCCGTCGTTAGTCACTCATTACTACGTGAAAACATTATTAAAATGAACTGCTGGAATGCAGTTTGCAAGAACACCTGGTATCTGCAGACTCTAAGAAAGCCTATGAATAAGTTAGGAGGGACGCACTGAATAGCATTTTCTTGGTCTTTTATTCTGCTGCAGCCAGTTGGGTCAGTTCGCTTGAATTTAAACCAGAGTTTCGGAATTTATGCGAGTATACATATATGGGCCGGTCACGGTAGCCGAGCGGTCTAAGGCGTACACTGTCTTCGCTCGCTCGGAAGCCGGGATCGTGGGTTCGAATCCCACTCAGG